ACTTTTTTTTTTTCAGTGGCCCTAATCCTCTTCCATAGAACTGGTGCTAAACTGTAAAGTAGAACAAAAAAGAAGATATGGCTTTAATGCTTATGTACAAACAAAAATCATGACTGATGTGCTGAATTCATCTCACCTTTAACATTCCCTAATAAAATCTAGTAAAACAAACAACTTTACCTCATTACTAGACAGCGGTACGGTATAAATGCTGGATTAAGAACCAGGATGAGGGGGGAGTTTAGCAATGGAAACAGGAAGGAAGATGAAATTTGCTTCATAAGGGCAATCCTAAAGGAAAACCCATTATTGGTGCTATGGCTCCCTTCTTAGCAAGACCCTAAACAAAAAGCCAGAGCTATAATCCAGTGATAGAACTGCCCTGTCAAAGTGCAAACCTAAATCTAATTGAGAATTTGTCCCAAGACTGGAGAACTGATGCTCAGACAGACTCTCTGTTTATTCTGGCTGAACTTTAGCTATTTAAAAACAAAAAATGCTAAAGTAGGCTGGAGCAATGCATGCCCATTTTTTCAGATTTACATTTGTAAAATAAATCACACCAAATGCAATTTCCCTTTCCCTTCACACTTATGCACTACTTTATGCAAGTCTATCAGATAGGTTTGTGCTTGTAATGTGAAAAATTCAAGGGGTACAAATCAAGACCCATAATTCCTGGAAGCCTGTAGCCACTCATGAAACACCATAAGAGAACCCAAATAACTGCCCCAGCAGCACCGATTATCTTACAAAGATTGGATAAACACTATCAACAAAAATGTTGTTGCTTATAAATAAGGCTGTTAAGCTCCACCACTAAGAAAGACCAGTCAAAGGTTATCAAGGCTGGGGAAAGCATTTCCTTTCATATCTTTAAGAAGGCCCCACAGCACAAATCTCTCTGCCTCACCAGTTACACAAGGGAGTGGGGTAACCAGTGCAGGGTGACTAACACATCATTCTGCTGGTTTTATGTTTTAGAGCCGGGGTCTTCAACGTTTTTTCAGGCCAAGGTCCCCCAAACTGATGGCTAGATGGAGCGGGGACCCCCTAATTATATATATTGTAAGAAATAGTGTTAAATCAAACTGGTCCTATAGTCACTCTATTACAGATGGAGTAATGTAACTAAAGTAATCCCTCCCTGGGATTATTAAAGTATTTCTGATTCCTGGTT